AAAAAAAAAAAAAAAAAAAAAAAAAAAAATTATGATGACGACGATGCAGATGATGGTGATGCCCAGCGATGATGCAGATGGTGATGACGATTGGTAAAAGTTAAAGTTGAAATTCGTGTATTTCAAATGGAAGACAGAAAGAATGTTCACAGTTAAAGTCTAATTCAATTACTTCCCCGTTTCGCCTTCATCCCCTTTCCCCACCAATTTCCAACAAAACTTCTGAAGTACTATTGTAACGATTTGCAAAAAAGCATTGCGTCGATTTTATCATCTAAATTTTGAAGTCGCAAATCTGAACTGGCCCTCTTCGGTAACGCTTTCTTTTTTTTTTCAATATTTTCGTCCAAAAAAAAAATTCAAGGACACCAATTATTAAAAACAATTCTACTATTACTACTAATACCACTACTAATACCACTACTACTACCGCTACTATCACTACTACTATTACTACTACTACCAATACTACTACCAATATCACCACTACCACTAGGCTAAAAAAAAAAACAAAAAAAAAAACGGTATTATGAACTTTTCTTATAGCCATCATAATTTAAAGCATCGAAAAATATTATGTTTAATTGTGACTGTTATTGTTAATGATATTATTGCTGAACTAAACACATTGCTTTAAATAGTAATCACACAGCGAAATAATAATTCTGTTGCAGCCAATGCCATTACAGTTAATATCATTATTAGCGGTATCGCTAGTACCCTGAATCCCCCGCTCTCAGTAACAACAGAAGAGCAAAAAGCACACATATTTGTCCTTTTAAACGAATATTTGTCTCACTGAGAGTTGATGGTTATATGAGCATATAAACTGTTACGTTCAATATACAATGTAACTTTGCAGAGTAATAGAAACTGAAAAAGAGATAATTTTTTGTTCCTTTCTTTCTCCTTCTTTTTTCCATTTTGATTAGTTTCTTTAGACATTCGCTGGATGTAACTAATGCTCAAAGCAACCAAACCAAAAAGTTATACTTAAGAGATGGTTAAACAACAAAGATAAAGCTTAAAAGCGGAATCAGTGGCAACCCCAAACACATTCGCTAATCTTCAGCAATTTCTTAAAATCCTATTTAATCTCAACGACGCCAAATAAATTTCCTTTAACACTCAAATATACCAGTATAAGTTTTTAAACGCAATTGGTCCTATTTTAGTTAGCTATTCAATAACAAAATATAATTTTAAAAAATTCTACAAGAATTTTGATTTCATCAAACGTTGCATTTGCACAGAAAATAAAAATAAATAAATAAGCTTTTTTTTTTTTTGAAAACAAGAAAAGCATTTTTTTTTAGCTCTAAATCCAAAATCATAAGAAAAAAAAGTAGAGCGATGATGTTGTAATTAAAATTGTTGCTAAAAATAAAGTAACAAGGAAACGTAAAAATAGACGGATATGAATTAAGTTTGTAATACCATACCTCTGGAATTAATTGCCAATTGTGGCATTCCTAGTGCGCTGAGAACCGTATCAACCAGTTGACTTAGCAAAGTTGCTCCAGAAACTATGGCATAGGAATCAACAAGCATATGCCCATCTTGGGCACATGTTAAGCAGTTCTGTGGTCGTACCGATTCGACCACAACTCGAACCGGAAACATACTCATTTTGTACCAAAACGAATTTGAAGCCTACCAGTGTTTCAAGCTTCGTTATTGCCTGAGAATAATTATAACAAATTAACTTTTAACACTCAACAAAATATTAATATCCAAATAGACAAGGATATAACAGGTCAAAAAAATGCCACATAAATCGAACA